ACTTGAAAAAAAGGTAGTTCTTTTATGTGGGTTCCAAACATATGTAGCAATTATGTATTTTAAAAGTCACTTTTTTCAATGAACATTCTGACAATTAGTCTTCCATGGCTCGTAAAACTGTACAGATTTGGCCACCAGATTAATTCTATTTCTCTGGTGGCTCTGCCCTGACCATAGCCGACCACCAGAGACGACTTAGAAGAAGCCCTTTTTCTTAGTACTCTTGGAATACTTGCTTTCGCTTTAGCTTGCTTGATTAAATCATCAGCAGTRAGCTCAATACTGCTTTCATGACATTCACTGTTCCCAGAAAAAATCACTTTGTCTTTAACTTCAACAAGGCCTTGTTCTTCCAATGCAATAAAAAAAGAATCTGAATCGAAGAGCTTGTATGAAATTTTCTGAGAGGCTGTCTTGTATGCGGGCTGTCCACAGTGCGACCTGTTTTGAACAGAGTTGACCTGTGCATTTAAGGTAAAAATCAAGTGCTGGAAGAAAGGCGTTGGAACTTGATGCGAGTCAATTCTGACCCATCGCCCTGAAATTAAAGATAAGTGTAAATCAGCCAAAGCTAACAATAATAAATAAGTTTATATGTTTTATAGTAATATAGCGAAGGTATGGTGGCTATTAAGATATCGGGAAATTTRAAATATGAAACTATTAAAAGCACCGTGCAGCATTCGCGTCCTTGTGTTATCAGATTTCCAACAGAGTCAAGTAAATACTTATTCAATGCTTGGGTGGTTTTATTGAATCTGAATAACCGTTGGGCTTTACTGAGACAACCCAAGACTAGCTATATTTGATATCAAAATAAGTCTATTAGYGAAACCGTGACGTCGTCGTTGACAATCCCGTTTTTTTAATTTAAACATATTTTATCGATACAATCCCGTTTTGCTTAGTGACCTTTTACACTTTAGGAAATAACCTTTGAAATTAAAAGAAGTATAGCCTACCTGGTAGACGGGGATGAAATAAGGAGTTCATTCTCTCCACTAAACCAGCAAGCCAAACTTTGTAGTTTTCAAAATTACAACTTGCCGACAAATCTTTGGACTCCGGAAGTGAAGCAATCGTGGAATCCTTGCAGTCTTTAAATACTGGCACAATGTTTTCCCACTCGGTTCCTGGGTGTTTAAGAACGAAGTGTTTCTTTAAGGTGGAGAAACTCTTGAAATTCTTAAGGCAAAAACCACACTYAATTACATACGTTGTGGCCATAACTTCTACAGTGAGTACAAATCAGCAGTATGCAATGGCAATAGTGTATCATGTCACATTCCGTCATATCCGCAACACAATTTTTCTGAGTGGGGGAGGGGTAGGCCAATGATTATCATAACGTCAGATTTAAAATTTTTGGAGCAAACCTACTTTTCAAGAACTTTTCTCTCCTTTAGCTTATAATTCTATTTGATTTTTATTAATTGATTGCATATTGGTATTTATTGTTTGATTCCTTTTATTTTTGGCTTGGTTCTTTTGTACTCGTAGGGAGGGGGGAGAGGAATATTCAGACTCRGTYACCACGCATTTCATTCCGTCAGTGGTATATCGTTGGATCATTTAATTATAATTCGCGGGCCATGCCTTAGCCATGTCTGAAACAAGCTCTCGAAAATCCTCACGATATTATTCAAGACCGCACACGAAAGAAGAAAGGAAGAAGCAGAAAARGGAGAGACAGAAGAAGATAAATACAGAATTACGTCTTAAGAAGAGAGAAGAGCGACGACACAAGAGGATCAAATTGGATTGTCYATTAGACGGCGAATTTGAAGAGGGCCCTTTAACAAACCGTCGTGAAAAGCCCATTTCTGTACCCACATTGATTGCCAACGTTAATGAAAGTCATGTTGCTAATGAACATAAACAAGGGAAGGTCGATAGACCGAAAACGTCAGATCAAGCCACCACGTGCTCAAATAAACATTCCAAGAAAGATAGTACAAGTAGAGCAAAAAGTGAAGGATCGAGTTTGGAATCAAAGTTTGGAAATTACRGCAGAGGGAAACAAATGGTGACGCTGGCAAAAAAAATAGGGGGAAACTCATCTATTGAATCTGCTGCCTTTCAAAAACCTTCAGGTTGTATATRCTTAGCGCGACAGCATTGCCCTTCGTATAATAAACGCCTTAGGAAGGACAATATTTCGGTGACAATACCAGTAAGAGAAGTTGATTATCGATTGATCTCGAAATGTTCAGATATCCCTGTAGGAAGTGGAAGTTTTGGAACCTGTTATCTTGCTCATTATCGCAACATAAAAGTGGCAGTAAAAGAAATGAAAAAGCGAAACCATTCTTTAACAGAAAAAGAGCGGTGCAGAAAGGAAGTGCTGCATGAGGCCAAAGTACTACATGCACTTGGGGATCATCCCAATTTGCCTCTTCTTTTGGGAATTTGCTCGGTCAAAGAGCCTTATTGCCTGGTACTGCAATTTCACGGAACCGAGAGGGAAAACCTAACTCTGGAGAAAGCCATTTATAACAAACTTATGAAGAAGACTCAAGTTGTTCAAGTGTTTCGCGATATTTGTCGCGCTCTTCAATATGTGCACGGAAGGGAATACCTCCACAACGATATCAAATCTAACAATGTTCTTCTCCAGCCCATTGGTGAAACATATCAACCAATTTTAATTGACTTCGGTAAAAGTAAGCTAATTGAGCAGGGAGAGAAACGTATCAGAAGTCAAAATGCAAGTTATTTGGCACCGGAAGTTGTGCAAGGACAAAGAGAAACCATTGCAAGCGATATTTTTTCATTTGGTAAAATGCTGCAGTTAGCTGTCTCTCGCCGAAGTTTTAGAGCGTCCTTTGAAAACCTAGTGACAAAAATAACATCAAATAACCCAAATGAAAGACCCTCAACGGAAGAAATAAATGTTTCGCTGGGCAGTCTTACAGAATAGGAGTAATTCTAGATACTGAGTACTCATTTCGTTATTCGTTTGTAAGTACAATGTTTAATCAATATTATATGCTGGTTTATATGCAGGATGTAGTATCGGGTTCACAAAAAGATATGTAAGTGCTGACAYTTAATAAACATATTTCATTGAGATACCCTGTCGGGCTTTATTAAGTTTGCAACACCTTCAAACCACAAGAATGCGAACTTGCGGTCGATTTGCGAGGCCTTCAAATCCTTGCAAAACCAGATTGAACGGGCCGGGGCTCGTCATGTCTATGTTTGAGATCCATGAATTTGGCTTTATTTTGCGTTATTTGTGGTTTTAAAAATTTGAGTCAAAGGGCTTTGAAAAGTTTTGAAAAATGTTTTGAAATTCTCTCAAGGGAACCTGTACGAACCCTGTATAATACCAAAGCTGCTTGAGAAGCTTCAATGGCTTGTTTTGATTAAACATTATGATCGCTAGGGTGACGAAAAAGCCCCCGTTATCGACCAACCAATGATTGGTTGATATATATGGGTTTTTTGTCGTCGCCCAAGCGATCATAATGTTTGATCAAACACCTTAATTCGAGCAGCTTCGTTATTATAGTTATGTTTACAAAATATTTTACATACTAAAAACCTGTTTGATATAATTTCGTTCGTTCACTTTTTCAACCAATCATTGGTTGATAGGTATCCGGGGTTCTTTGCGCTAGCGATCAAAACAAGTCTATATTGAAGCTAGCTTCTTTACTCGAAAGAACAATTCAATTCAAAAACTTTCGTTAATATAGTTATGCTCACTAAATATTTTACTTACTAAAAACCTGTTTGATATACTGTCGTTCGTTCGTTCGTTCAATTTTCATCCAATCATTGGTTTATAAACATAGTGGACTTTTCGTCACCCAAGCGATCATAATGTTTATTCAAAATGAGCCTAACACTTCAATAGCGCAGCGCAACCGTGACGTCATAAAAACGAAGACAAAGGTGGAATTCGGACAAACAAACTTACAAGTTTACTTTCAGCAGATAAGCAGTTGATCTTAGTTTACATGGGTTATTATTGTAACTTTAAGTAAAAATAATAAAATCGGTTCGTATAATCCTCGTAGCGGTTAAACAGAATGCAATGTTTGTCCGAATCTTTAAGCTATTTTTAGAATCAGTGCGCTGTGCTATTCAAGCAGCTTGGTTATATTACAGTTACGCTAAAAAAACTGTTTAATATACTTTCATTCGTTCCCCTTTCCCAACCAATCGCAATGCGCGTATGAAAAGAAAAGAAAAGAAAGCAAACAAACCAATAAAAAACGATACATCCAAGCAGAGTCCACGTACGGCTTTTCTTCACACGTGAGAGGAACGTTACGTCCAATCAGAAGCCGGCAGCATATTTGGGTCGGTCGTTTCGTGAGAGACTTTCGGCGACTAAACTATAAATTTAAAACTCATCAATTAACTAATGAGTTTGGGCTAGGTACCAGTGCGGGATCCGGTTACGCGAGTATATCCCCCAGCAAGGAGGTAACCATGGCAACCGGGCTACAACCCAGGATCCGACCTCGACTAAGAGAGCGTTTAATAATGCCTTGGGGTGGGCTGGAGGAAAATTAGGGGGGGCCGCAAAAATTAATTGCTCAACAAGGGGTGGGCTTCTAAATGCCTTTTATCTGAAGAGGTGGGGTGGGGGTTAAAAAGTGAATGTGAAGTGAAGAGAACTAGAACAATTTAATAAATTAATAAGCTATTCTAAAGCCACATTAAAAATGTAATGCTCTTGTTGTTTCTAAACATAAAGCTTAACACCAACTTATAAGAAGCCCTAACAATTACATTTTCCCCAAAAAATCTCCTAGTTAAACGATTTAAAAATGCATAAGCAATAGTGGATAAAGTAGTAGGTATATCATTCATCATCATCATAATAGATTTCATTTATCTGTCCAACGTAATATAATATAAAATGTATCATCATCATTATTAAGCATCATCATCATCACTATCATTATCATTATCATCATTAACAGCATTATCATCATCAT